GCCGGATATTGCCCGCGATTCCCGAGAGGCGTCGCCGAGCAAGGGTGCTCTGCAGCGTTCCAGGGCGTCCGCATTCGCCTGGTCAATTCCGCCGTCGGCAGGCGCAGTTCTATTGAACGCCCCAGCGCCTTGGCCAGTCAGGGGCCGTCGGGGCGCCGCCGGCGACCCCGCTTCCGAGCCGCCCGCGGAGTTCTCGCCGCGACGCCCAGGGGCCACCGCGGCCGCAGATCGCCCGATAGTGCACAGCGAAGGGTCCGCCGGCCCCCTTTGGCCGCGCGGCCAGCGGGGCGGCGGCCGCGGCGCGCGGCCTTGATTCTTGCATTGACATTGGCCCGCTTGATCGAGGAGAAGTGGGGGCGCGGCGGGGCGGGGGGGCATGGGGCAGGGGGGGGGGGGTGAAGCAGGCTGGGGTTAGAAGGAGGACGAGGCAGGCAGGGCGGAAGGGGGGGGGGATGCAAGCCGCCCACGTGGGGCCAAGTTGACATGGGTTCAGGGGATTGCGCCACATCGCCGACGCACCAGCGATGCGGCGCTATCCAGGGTCCGATGTTCTCCTAACCGGCGCCGCCGCTGCATCGGCGACGCATCGGCGACCCTCCGGCCTCATCCGTTCTGGCCCAATTTGGGCGGCCGCCGCGGAGGCAGGCAGGGGGGGGGGGTTTAAGGCGAGGCGGAAACGAGGTAGGAATGTTTCGTTCTCCAGCGAAGTCGGGGCGCTTCTCTTTGCCCCTGCGCCAGCCGGGAGTTCAGGTGGGTGTTTTGCGAGGCTTGCGGGCAGCGCGCGGTTTCGCAGTCGTCGCGCAGCAGCGCAGAGCGCAGATGAGAACACCGGAGGGGAACTCGGAGGGACAGGAAAAACAAAGGGATGAGCAGCGGGTTGCGTTTTGTGTTGCGCCGTGCGTGGCGTTGTGGAAGTCTGGGCCTTCTCCTTGCGTCTGGCTCTTCATCCCGCGTCGTTTCGTCGATGGTCCTGGAGGGCGAGGGTGGCGATAGTTTGCCCATCGCGTTTTTCCCGCACGTTTCGCGGGGGCACGGTTTGCTCCCCAGCCGCGCCCCACCCGCGAAGTTAACGCGCGCGCGCGCCCGCGCGCGCACTTACCCTTTCGTCCGCGGCTGGGCAGAGAAAGTGCGCGCGCACACGCGCGCGCCATTTCCCTCCTCTTTTCCTCTGCTGCCCTTATGTTCCTTTTCTTGCTTCCCCGCGCCGACGCGCAGCGCGCGCGCGGCGCCCGCGTGGCGCGCGCGCATGCATGCAGCCGCGCGCATGCATAGTTTCGCAGACACGCACTCGCACACACGCACACGCACGCACACACACATACGCACGCACTCTCACAGACGCACACACACACACACTCACGCACTCACGTACACACCATACAGCGCCAGTGCACACCTGGCGTGCTCAGTGCATCATCCACCCACTACGTATGCACCACATACAGGTCACCCGAGTGAGACTCATGGGCGCCCACATGGGCCGCGTCGCGTTTTTTTCACCCACCCGCGCTGCGCGCGCACGCACGCACGCACGCGCGCACCCACGCCCACACAAACGCACACACACACACAACACACAAAACTCACAATACGCACCCACGCACGCACGCACGCACGCACACACGTACACATTCACACACAGACACACACACACACACGCATCACACATACACACACACGCACATACACACACACACACACACATTGGGGTGCGCAGGGGGTGGTATCTGAGCGCGGCCGCTATGCGCGCTGGTCGTCCAGGCCACGGCAGGCACGGTTGCCTCGCACCATGTGGGGCGCGCAGGGGGGGTCTCCAAGCGCGACAGCTATGCGCGCGGGTCTTCCAAGGCAGCGAGCGTGGCATATTCCCGACGCCATGGGGCGCGCGCGGTGGGTGGTTTCTGAGGGCAGCCGCTGCGCGCGCCACTTGTCCAAGGCAGAGCAGGCGCGGCATTTTCTAGACGGGCGCGCAAGGGATATTTTCTGAGCGCGGCCGCTACGCGCGCCGGTCGTCCAGGGCGTGCCGGTCGTGGCCCCTTCTTGAACACGCAGGGGGGGCGCGGGCGGTGGTCTCTGAACGCGGCAGCTAAGCGCGCTGGTCGTCCAGGCAGAGCAGGCGCGGCGCTTTCTCGATCGACGCCATAGGAGGTGCGCAGGGGGCTGTTTGCGCGCGTGGCATTTTCCCCACCAGAATAGCGCGGCGTCACCCGATCAGAACTGGCCAGCGACCCCCGATCCGAAGACCTCGGTCGGGGCCCTGGGCAACGAGCGCACATGGGAGACACTGCAAGCATGGGTCGAGGAGGTCTGAATATTACCTTGGACTCCAGAGCGAAGACCTTGACCTGCGTGGGTGCAAAAAAACAGTTACGCCCGCTTTTGATCGGGCCATGACACTGCGCGCTCTCGCTGACAGAGTCTGCGTCGGGCATGCGCACGTGGCGCGGCCCCCGCCTCCTCGCTGGGGCTCGCGGAAGCTTCTGCCGAACGGTTCCGCATTTTCTTCCCGCGGTGTCGCGTGCGTGCAGTCCCGGGATTTTCTCTCGACAGGCTGCGCCTTGCGCGAATGGCCCCGAACCGCTTTGATTGGGCGGCCCGCGTCGACAACGCTTGCCCCCGAGGACTTTCTGTCGAATCGACGGCGTGTGAACTGTGTCTTGCGCGATGCCCAAAATTCATCGTCTCTTCGGGGTTGCCCCCGCTTTTGCTTGCGCATCGCGTCCGGCCCCCAAGGCTCGACAGGCTTCGCCAGTGGCGTTGGCGGGGCAACGGCCGCCGGCGTTTTGTTTCGCATGCTTCACTTTAGCTATCGTCGCACCAAAATATACTAAGTACGCGGGCTTCTTCAATGGCGCAGCTTCTTGACGCTATGATGTTTGGGCCAGTGGGGAGAGGCGTGGCGCGTCAAGAAGAGATGCGAGGGGAAGCCGGGGGAAAGGAGCGGACGGAGAGAAAAAGAGGGGGGGAAGGGGGCAGGGATCAAGGGAGAGAGAGAGAGAGAGATGGAGAGAAAGAGAGAGAGAGAGAAATAGAGAAAGAACACGTTGAGGAGAAAGAGAGAGAGAGAGAGAGAAAGAGAGAGAGAGAGACATAGAAAGAGAAATAGAGAGAGAGAGAGAGAGCGAGAGAGACATAGAGAGACAACTAGGGAGACATAGCGAGAGAGAAGGAGGGAACACACAAAGAAATAACATACACACATTTATATTTATATATACAGAGAGAGATCGCAAACAAAGAGAGACCGACATATATTTAAATAAACATAGCAACAGAGCGAGGGAAACAACTAACCCCGCGCGGGCGATTATAAAGGTTCCCCCTTTCGCCCCCTCTATTTTTATCCCCGGCCACAGGGATTTATCCGTGGGGAAGGCGCGGGGGCCGAACTTGATAATCACTTGGGCAGTTGCAAGGATTGAAATTGCTATCATATCATTTTGAGTAGCAACAACATCAAAAGTATGGCCATGGTGATCTCGCCACACCAGCTTCCGCAATCACCAGCGTGTGGCACGGTTGTGGGGCTCTCACCAGTTCAGTTTGCCCACGTTACGACCGGTGTGGCAGGGCCATGGGATTCTCATGTTCTTAGCCGTTCCCGAGTTCGGAACGTGTGGCATGACCATAAGGACCGAGTCTTGAACGTGTTGCAGGGCCATTGTTTTTCTTCCTTTTCTCTCTTTCTCTTCCTTCCGCCCCCCCCCGCCCCCCCCCCCCACCCCAAGGACGCCTGGTTCTGTTCTTCCTCCTCCTCCTCCTCCTCCTCCTCCTCTTCCTCCACCTCAAGTTCCGTTAGCCACCAGCCTCGAGATCTCTCGTGTCAGCCTTGCGCGGAACGCCCAGGATCACCATCATCATCATCATCATCGTCATCATCATCATCATCACCATCATCATCATAACTTGCCTTCCCCGCTAACATCCCCGGGAACTTACATATTATCCCCTCGGGAACCGCGAACTTTATTGTCCCAGGGGTTTCACTATCGCCCGCACAGGGTTAAAACAACAAAACACAACAACGGACACCATCAAGGCGGACAGGCGGCAGTTGTTTTATTGATGTATGATACTTGATATATCATGGCCTTCTGCCCGTCCCGCCACCGTGCCTGGGCTGTGGAAAGAAAGCCTAATGGATGTTCGTTGGCATCTCGTGGGGCGCCTGTCGGGGGCCTCTCTTAAGGCAGTTTCGAGGCCTCTTGTGGGCCTCTTGTGGCCTTTCGGGTGTCTGGGGGCCTTTTCGGGGTCCTTGGGAGCTTTTCGGGGGTTTCTTGGAGCCTCTTTTGGGCGCCTCTGGGGCCCTCCTGGAGGGCACTGGGGGCGGAAGGCTCGCGTTTGCGATTCGTGTTCCCTCCCTTGGGCCCTTTTTGGTGCCGTTTTGGGGAGCCCGTTGGAGGCCTCCTGCTGTGGCGTCTTGGAGGCCTCTTGGGCCATCTTAAGGCCATCTTGGGCAGGCGTTTTGATATTGGGGCGACGTGGGGCCCTTTTTGGCAATGTGTGGGGCATCTTGGAGCCATCTGGGCTCGTTTGGGAGCCATCCTGGGCGGGGTGGGCCGTCGCGAACGAGTCCAGCGGACCCGTGGAAAACCCGGAAAACGATTGGCACGAGCATTTGGCAATGCCAAGTTTTGGTTGCACCACCAGCATTACAGCCCTTTTCGGCGTTGCATGCGCCTTGGCGTGCTCCGCTTTCGTGCTAGAGAGATGGTGGATGATCTTTATATATATATGTATGTATGTATACATATATATATATATATTGCTACACGTGTATACATGCATGTGAATATATAACATGCATGCGTACACACATACATGCATGCATACCTGCACACACCTATATATATATATATATACATATATATATATATAGGTGTGTGCGTGCGTGCACACACACACACATCTATGTATGGACTATACATACATACGGAGAGACAGAGAGAGAATATACAATAAACTAAACAATCATGGATAGAGAGAGAGAGAATATGGAGGAAGGATTCGCCAGTTTCCGAAGAAGGAGCCACGCCATAAACATGAGCTGTTGGCGCTCCGCGCGGATTTCTTGGATCCGTGCTGGGGCCCCCCAACGGCGCCTCTGGCGCGGCCCCTAGCGCGCGCCGGTGCGCCAGGGAAGGTGGTCCAGCGCAGATGTCCGCGCGGGCGTCGCGGTCCCCAGCGCGGGGGCGGCCTCGATCCTAGCAGATAGGTAGTGTGTTTCGAAGTGCTTCGCATCCTGCCGCCGACCCTTCCCTCCGATAGCATGTGTGGGGAGCACAAACGGCATAAACATACACTTCCTGACGTTCGCGAACTTTTCATAGGTTGGCGCTTTGCCCTCCGTAGCGGCGCCTCAGGCGCCACCCCTGACGCGCTCCGCGCGTTCAGAGAGGGGTGTCCAGCGCCGATTCAACATACCCGCGCACACGAGGAGCAAGAGAGGCGGAGCACGCTGAGCAAGGTGAGGAGGAGAGACGACGGGAACAAGAAGGAGCGATGATGATCGGGGAGTGAGCAGACTTATCGATAGTAAGGGAATCAGGGGTTATGATCGAGGATGACGTCAATGAGCGACGATAAAACATGTGCAGAAACAACGAGTAGTTGTGAGTGGGGAGGACCTGACAACCACGGTGAGTGTGAGCGAAGCGGGGGATGAGCAAGGATACTGAAACGCAGCGAGGAGGAGGAGGAAGAGGAGGGGGACGAGGAGGAGGACGAAGGGGAGGAGGAGGAGGAGGAGGAGGAGGAGGAGGAGGAGGAGGAGGAGGAGGCGGAGGCGGAGGCGGAGGAGGCGGAGGCGGAGGAGGAGGAGGAGGAGGAAGAAGAAAACTAATATGTAGAAGAAGAAGAAGAAGAAGAGGAGGAGTATGGAGGGAGGGAGGGAGGGAGGAGGAGGAGGAGGAGGAGAGGATGAGGAGGGAGGAGGAGGGCGTAACGAGGAGGAAAAGCAAGACAACAGGAGAGGAGGAGGATGAGGAGCAGGAGGAGGAGAAAATGGATATGTGGAGGAAGGAAAGGAGGAGGAGCAAGGAGGAGGAGGAGGAGCAAGGAGGAGCAAGGAGGAGGGACGAGGAGGGCGGAACGAGGAGGAGGAGGACAGCAGCGAGGAGGAGGAGATTGTTGAGACTGAGGAGGGGAAGGAGGAGTTGGAGGAGGAGCGGGGATCATGAGAAGGAAAAGCAGCGCGGACGTGAAGGGGAAGCGAGGAGCAAGGAGGAACGGTAACGAGGTGGAGCGAAGAAGAGGGCGTGGATGAGGAGGAGGAGGAGGAGGAGTGCGGGAGTGGAAACAGGAAGCAGCAGTTCGCGGCAGCAAGCGAAAGCCCGAAGCACAAGCGAGCAGCAAGCAACACAGAGCAACACCAGGCGGCAGCGAACGGCTGCAACAGGCAGCACCAGCAGCACGCGGTTTAAGCAGCAGCGCTGCCTGGTGGGCCCGAAATAGGGCTTCCTGTATTTACCCAGGGCCCCCCAAAATTCCGAGGATGTGGCTTGTCGCAGCGGCTGACCAGAGTCGGGCCGAGGGTAGTCGTCCGCGCGTTTTCAGAAGCGTAGGACATCAGGTCTCACTCTGATTCATCCGGCACGATTCGATTCAAGTTCGCTCGATTCCCATTCCTATTCGATTTCGGATTCCGATTTGGCTTTGGGTTTCTCCATGGCGGCCTCGCTAGCCGTCCATTTTCTGCCGATTCGACTTACGTATCCCGACTTGGCTGCAGATTTTGTCGATCCGGGTCATTTCGGTTGCCGATCCGACGGGTCGATTCGATCTTGGGTCTTCCTCAAATATCACCTCCTGAGGAGCCGAGTAATCATGTGCTCTGAGAGCTATCCGCCGACCCTGTCGGCGTGTGTGAGGGGCTTGTCCGTTCGAGCCGTCGTGTCCGTCATTCGTTGGTCATCGTCTCTGTCGGCCTCTTTCCCTGCGCCCCTCCCTTGCCCTGGGCCCGTCGCCGCCCCCCCCCCCATTCCCCTGGTCCTCCTCAAGCGCGCCAGCCAAAGTCAAATTGAGCAACGTCGCAATTGAGTCGAAGGAAAGCCCCGCGTGGGGGGGATCCCGGGTCCGATCCCGGGTCCGGTCCCGGGTCCGGTCCCGGGGAGGGGTCCAGGGGGGGTTCCCAGGTCAGATGCGACCCAACCCAGGGGGTCCCAGGGCCCACAAAAGCTCCTAGACGGGCCAAGAGTACCCGAAGAGGCTCCCGAGACGGTCCAAGAGGGCCTCGAATCGCCGAGCGATCTGTCCAAGATGCTTTGCCGGCCTCCAGACGAGAGTCCTGCAAAACGCCCCAGAGATCGCCCCAAGGCGGCCCGGAGATCGCCCCAAGGCGGCCCAGGACGAGAGTCTCAAGGTGACCCCTAGATCGCCCCAAGACGGCCCAAGAGGCCTTCAGGAGGGACACCAAACGGCCCAAGAGGGCCCCAAGACGGCTCCAGACGCCCAAGAGGCCCCCAAGACGGCTCCAAGAAGGTGCCCAGACGAGGGACAAGAACGGACATTTCGAGCCCTCGGCCCTCGGCCACGAGAGGCTCCCAGGAGGATCCCAGAGGCCCTCAAGAAGAGGCCCCCAAGAGGCCCCAAGAGGCCCCCAAGAAGCCCCCAGGGAGCTCCAAGACGCCCCAGGAGGCTCCCAAGAGGCCCCCGAGAGGCTCCCACGAGGTCCCTGAACTGTCCCTCAGAGGCCCCCGAGAGCGCTGCGAAGAGACCCCAAGAAGACATCCCTGAGTACTCTGACCCAGGTCTGCGTCGTCGTCGTCGTCGTCGTCGTCGTCGTCTCCAGGGTCGTCGGCACATGCCGCAAGGCCTTTTCAGTATGTCCTCCTGAGGAGCCGAGTAATCATGTGCTCTGAGAGCTCGTGCTGCTGAGCGCCTCTGGATGTTACAATGTTGTGAATTGCCTAGTCGTTCTGGGGAGCACCGAGATGCTCAGTTGCTGAATCCTCGTCTGCGCAGCCCCATGGCCCTCGCAAAGGGGGACCGGCGGATATCGCCTGACGCGGCCGTCAAAGCTGGCCAACTATCGACGACATGCTTGCGGTCAACCCCGCCATTGTGCCAGCGCTGCACCAGGGTAGTTCCACGATCGTTCTGCCATGGGTCGGACGACTCCAGCTGCAGGTCGGCACCCATCCTGGCCGGGCCTGTCCTGGCTTCAGGGTGGATCTGGCCAGATCGGTGTCGGTGTGATTACAGGTGTCGTCCTCTTGATGCCCAGACCTCCGACGTCGTGATTTTTTCCCAACGTGCCCGCCCGAGGGCTTGGCCTTTTTTCCGGGATTGGTCCTGCATCCGGAGTTGTTTTCCTACAGCCACAGGCCCCGCTTAAGGGCCCATGGAGGCCAAAAAGGTGCAATTCAAATTGTGTCGAGGTTTCTTGGCAACGAGAGGAGATAGTTCCAAGAGATATGGCCACGGTTCCAGTAGCGTTTGCATCCCCACCGTCTTGTGTAGGAATTGTTCTTGCAACGAGAGGAGGTTGTCGGTGGTTCCAAGAGGTATGACCATGGCTCAGGCAGCGCCTGCATTCCGACAGCATTAATTCCGTTCGCGCCTGCATTCCCAGCGTTTTATGCAGACGTTGTTCCGCGACGAGAGGAGGCTGTGAGCGGTTCCAAAAGCGAGCTGGCGTGGCGCAATATTGTTGTAATTAGGATCTAGTCCACACCTCCGCTCCGTAAGGTATGCGTCGACGTTCGCGCGACAACGTTCCTACGTAAGTCCGACGTGATTCCGACATGAATCCGAAATAAATCCGACGTAACCCGTCGTGAACCAGGCGCGAATCCGACGTGGATCCAAATTGACGCTCGAGTTGCCGCGCGAGGCCTCCAGGATTATCCTCATGACAATTGAGCATTCGAAGGGCAAGACATGGCGCCAACATCAGTTCTCGGAGCTCCTTGGGATGGCTCTGGGACCCCCTGGCGGAGCCTCTGGCGCCGCTCCTGGCGAGCTCCGCGCGCCAGCCAGGGGTGTCCAGCGCGGATCCGAGAAGCCCGCGCCGACCTCCGAAAGTTTGTGTTTGCGCAAGCCTCTTGTTCCTCTCGTGGCCATGTTTCCCGCAGCGCCTGCACCCCCTCCGCCCAGTGGGGGGCCTCCGGTCCTGGCTGGGCGGGGGGGGAGAGGACAGGAGCGGCCGCACACCGCACGCGCGCAGGCCGCCAGGGCTGGACCTGAACGCTGTTTTGCTGGACTTCGGCTGTGTTCTGTTTTTCCTTCTTGGCAGCAGGGTGCAGGAAAGCAGATCGAACCACAAAAGCCACACGAAAGCAAAACGAAGCACAACACGAAACGACAGAGCAAACCGAAAAGCATAACGAAACCAAAGCGAAACACAACGTTTAGGTCCAGCCCTGGACCGCACCCCTCCGAGGGGCCGGCGGCGCGCCCGGGGGGGAGGGCCGAGGGATGCCAGAGGGCCCGTGGAGCCCCCCCCCCCTCGGCAGGGCTCGGTTCCGGCTCTTCTGGCTCGGCTCGATGCGATTTTTCGACCGTTCGGTTCCGATGCGGCTCAGGGGAGGAACAGCCACCTGGACCCGATAATCGGCGTTTACGGCGTTTATTGAACAGCCTTGCATTGTTCGATTCCTTATGTGGGTGCGCCTACTAACCGGCTTCGCGTGTCGGGGTGATTATCACGTGGCTGGATGTTTTGCCCTCTAGGAGGAGTCCCGCTGTGGTTTTCGTTTTCTCCTCGGAGGATGGCATGGCCTGCCGACTTCCGCCGATTCGACCACTCCCGACTCGGCTGCAGATTTTTGCCGATCTGGGCCGTTGCAATCGCCGCTCCGACTTGTCGATTTCGCTGCTGGCTTCTCCTGCCTCGGCGGCCGAGAGCGGGCCGAAGCCCCCCGGCGTGGTCTCTGCCACGGTGCGAAGAGGTCTGCGGCGGGAGGGCGCGGCGGGCGGCGGGGGCCAGCGGCGGCCAGGCCGCGCAGACGGCGTCGTGCACTGCGACTCTGCAGGCGAGGTTGGTGTGCTCGGCGGCGCGCCCCGGGAGAGAAGGCGGAGGGGGCGGGCCTGCTCTCGGAGGGCCCCGAGGGCCTCAGAAGGCCTCGCGAGAGGCCCGCTCGACCCTCTCCGGAGCCAGGCAGGGGGCGTCTCAGAAGGGCGGAGAGTTTCCGAGACGCCCCGCTGCCCGGGAAGGCCTGCGCCCCTCGTTTTCCTGCAACCTCGGCGCGCCGCCGAGGAAGATTGTGATGAGCAACAGTTCCGCAGCAGCGCCTGCATCCGAGAAAGAGCAACCTCCACACCAGAAGGCTCGAAGTGGCCCGCGCGGACTTCCGGACGGTGTTTCTGCGGGTGCAGTTTTTGTCTCCCTTGTCCGTCCCTCGTGAGATCGCTGATGCATCCATGGTTCCACCACTTGCACCATGGTTCTCATGGTTCTATTCTAGGCCTCCTATATGGGGTTGGAGTCGATGGGGCTGGAGGATCGCGTCGCATCGCCGATACATCGGCGATGCATCGGCGATCCAGCTCCATGTGGGACCCAATGTTCTCCACGCCGACGTCGCCAGTGCATGGCCGATGCATCGGCGATGCATCACCGATGTATCGCCGATGCGGCGCGGTCCTCCGACCCCATCTATTCCGACCCCTTCTAGGAGGCCTCTATCTATGAGGCTCCCACAGGGCCCGCATGTCGCTCTAGGGCGGCCGTGCTGAGAGGCAACTCAACACCTCGCTGCGTGCCGGGTGCGCGGCGGCGGAATGCCCAACGGCCGCGCATTGCTTGGACTGTCGCTTTCCCGACTAACCAACCGAATATGCCCAGAGTGGTATCAATAGGATGTGCGCCCGTTTCACCAGAGAATTGTTTCAAATGTGGTCTTGTCTCAGATGCATGCAGCTTCGCGCGTGCTGCATCCTGCTTTCGTACAGGGCGCCGCGTGTTTCCTGCTGCTGTCCTTCTCTTCTCTTTAGGTCTGCCTTGAATATAGCTATGAATCGCCGCCGCAGCCATCTGAGCGACATAGACAATTCAGGCCCTTCGCGCGGACATTGGCACAAAGGCTTCCTGTTCCTGTATGTTGGCGCCACTGTCTCCACACGGTGTGCCACGTGGGCGTCTTGCGGTACGCGGCCGCGGAAGGTTGCCGTACCCCCCCCCTTTGCGTGGGAGGCCTTGGTTCGGCGGCGTGTCGATGGGGACGGTGAGAGCAGGCGTCGGCCTTCTCAGAAGGCGGCGGGGCTTCTCGGAAGGCCCCCTGTGGCTCCCGAGAAGGCGGAGAAGGCCTCTCCGAGGGCTTCCTGACCCCCCGCGAGCGGGCCCGCCTCTGCTGCCTTCCCTCCCAGGCGCGCCGCCGGCCTGTCTCTGTCGCTCTCGTTGTGGGCCTCTGGGCCTGGGCTCTCCCGCCTCGGACCGCCTGCTCTTAGGATCGCGCCCGGGTCCGGCGAAGCCCTCTGCCGCGTGGACGACTGCGGGCCCGCTCGGCCCGTCGAGGCCAGGGCATCCATCCGCTCGGCTCCTCTGCGCCAGGCGGAGGCCAAGGGGTTGACACCAACACCTGTGCCGGCGTTTTGCCCCCACCGAGGGAAGAGGGTACCGATGTCGGAGAGACGGTGGTGATGTTCGGGCTTCCACGGTGGCCGAAAGGTTGCCACCGGCATCGACATCTAGGATCCCGTTCCCCAGGTGGGGCTCCCCCCCCCCGTCAAACGGGGCCAGGACGAGGATCAGTCTTCCGTTCCAGAGAGTTCCGGAACGCTCTCAGAGAGTTCCGGAACGCTCTGAGAAGGCCGCGGCGATCGAGACATCTTCCAGAGCCCCCAAATCTCAGAGGTTCTCGATATTTCTCCTGACCCGATTTTATCTTTGTCCTGGCTGCGCCTTACCCAGTGTTGGTGCTGGTACCCACTTGCATGCCTCCGAGTCAGCGTCTGGCGACGGCAGGAAGGAGGGAGGGGTGACGGGAGGTGGCAGGCCATCACGCTACGCAGCACTGCTCGAAGAAGGAGGCAGCGGCATGAACCTCAGCTTTCGGAGCTCCGCGCGGGGTTCCTGGAGCGGCGCTGTGCCCCCCCTGGCGGCGCCTCCAGCGCCGCCCCTGGCGAGCTCCGCGCGCAAGGGACGGGGGTCCAGCGCCGATCCAAGAGATCCAGGCGAACCTCTGGCAGTTCTTGTTCATGCCGTTTGTTGCCTCTCACGACGGGTGAACGACAAGGTAAGTCAGAAAGAGGCTGACGGAAGACGAATCGCTGACCCAAAGCCCGGCCACGATCTCAGGTTTGCCTGTGCTGAAGAGCCTCGACGTTTGGCCAGAGATAGAAGGATACTCCACGGGTGAAGAGAGTGGTGGATGGGCAGGCAGAAATAGAAAGGGAACGCAGAAGGAAGGGGCAGGTGTATAAAGGTCGCGGATTAGGGGGACGGAGGATACAGCATAAGCAGGAGGATATGAAGGAGTAGGAGGAGACACGTGGCGGATTGAGGAGTGACATGATGATCAGGAGGATGCGCATGATGAGGAAGTGGGGGAGCAGAGGAGCGACAACGTCTATAGAGTCTACGGCTATTTATATCTTGAATTTCGGGTGGCCTGCCTAGGGGGGGCAGAGCTGCCCTTAACAAGACGCCTCCTACCGCAATGCTCCCCCTCGTCCTGCCATGTTTGTTTTTGCTATGTTGTCTGGACCAGCGCAGACCCGCGGGAGGTCTGGACCCGTTCTCTCCGAGACCGTCTTCCATCCCGCAGTCGAAATTGTTTTTCGGCGGCGAGTGGGGGGGGAGGGAGTGAGGAGAAGAACGCCTTCTCGGAATGCGGCGGGGCGTCTCAGAAGCCCTCGCGCCTCTGGGAGAGCTCTTGTGCCTTCGGGGAAGGCTTGGACAACTTCTCAGAAGGCGGGGGGACACTTCCGAGCCTTCTGAGAAGGTCGGCCCCTTCTCGCTTCTCCCCCGTGCTCGCCGCCGATGTTTGCCCGTCCTGGAGCCTCGCACGCACGCACGCAAGGCCATGCACCCGGCAGGATGTGTCTGCAAGAGAATCGAATTGGAAGCAGCGGTCACAAGTGGTCCCGAAGCCATGCATCCCAAACGCGCCCTACGACATCCAAAGTGGCCCTGAAAGGGACCCCAGATGCCGAAAGCCGTAGCAAGCCTCATGCCGTCATTTTTTCGACGGCGCGAAGTAGGCCTGGGCCGCCTTGGCAGGGCTCATTTCGATTCCTCCGACTCGATTCGATTCGATTAGATTTCGATCGATGTTGATTCCGACTCTATTCGTTTTCGGATTTCAATTTGGGTTTTGGTTCCTCATTGGAGGCCTTACTATGCTCCCGATCTCAGCCAATTCGACTTCCCCCGACGTGCTGCCGATTTCCGCCGATACGGTTCATTTCGACAGCCGATCCGATTTCTCGATTCGATTCTGGGCTCTCCTGCCTTGGAGAGCCCAGGACGAGGGCGACGTCCACGGCGGCGAGGGATCGCTCGGCGCGCTCTCGCACGAGAGGACTTCGTGGACAGCTGCGCCGCCGCGGCGGCCGACAAGCTGGCGCTGTCGATCGCGGCCTCCCTGGGCGTGGGGGGGGGAATGGGCGGAGAACGGAGAGGGAGGGAGGCCTGTTCAAGGGTGGGTCGCCGAGGGATGCGGTCCTACGTACCCTGCAGTCTGATTTGATTGGCAGGTCGACCCTTCCAACGCAAGGGTGCCCTTTGTGTGCTGTCTACTGTGTCACATGCCTGCTGCACTCCTGGGGCAAAGGTGCCCTGGTCTGGAGGGGCCACGTTGCCCTCGCAGGAGTTCTTGTGCCCTCTCGCGTGTCCTCTCTTATCAAGCTCGCTCGTGAGGATGGGAGAGGGATCCCAGGCGGAACTTTCTCTGCCTGAGGCCCTTCGTCCTTGGGGGCCCCATCCCTCAGGGCCCCAATCTTTGCACCGCCGAGACAGAGGTGCAGGTTCGAGGGGCGGTTCGAGGGGCGGTTCGGCCGCTTCGCGGTGGGCTGCGCCCGCTCGGCCAGGTCCCGGACGGTTGCTGCGCCGCTCTCGTCCTGTTGGGCCGCGCTCGGTCCGTCGGGTTTGGCTTCGCCGTCGGCTCGGACGTTCTTCAGCCTTGTTGCCGCCGTGAGTGCCGAAGGGTGGGGAGGGAGGGACCAGGACAGGAACCAGGCGGAGGAGAAGGACAGGATTCAGGATGAGGAGGAAGAGGAGGAGGGAGATCGGGGAGGACGAGGTGGGGGGGAGGGAGGAGGAGAAGCGGCAGGAGGAAGGAAGAACAGGAGGGAATGAGGGATGCTCGTATGGTGCGCTTGAGGGCTCTAGGGAGGGGCGCTAGGTCTCCGCAATGTCTATGCCAAAGTTCCAGAGCCCTTGTCCGAGAGCAGCGTGGGCGTGAGCGGGGGGCGAGTGGGAGGTGTAGAGGTCGGAGGACTGGGAGGGTGATACGGTAGATTCGCGTCGTGACTTGCCGTTGACAGGGAGAAAAGATCGGATCGGATCGGAACGCGGCGCTGCCGAGGGGCTCCGCGCCTCCCTCGATGCAGCCGCCTACGGCGTCTCCGACTCCCTCCCCTGCGGGCGCGGCCCAGCAGCTGGATGCCAAGGTTGAGTCGGGCATGTCCCTCTATTTCGGGGGTGGACTGGACAGAAACCCCACCCTGACACGTCGATTGGTGAGTTGTCCGTTTTCGTATCTCGAGAGGGCACCGCGGCCGTCATTTTCCAGGCTTGCGCCCGCCAGGTTTGGGCCCGAGGTCGCTTTCACTAAACCACGTTTTGCTAAAGGCTGTTTCGTCCATCCCCGAATAGTCACAAAGAATCAGAAACTAGTCAGGGAATGAGTTTCTACCTTTTTGGGGGTTATTTTCGAGCATTGTTTGACTGTGTTTCATTTGTTTTCCAAAATCCGCCTGTAGGAGGAAATGCCCGACCTCTTGCCAAGGGCACTCCCCCACATGCTCCCGGCGCGAACGGGGTTGCGTGGAGTCCCACCCCAAGCCCGCGGGGATGCAGGGCACCTGCCGCTGCCCGCCTCCCCCTCCTGCCGTGCGGAGCCACGCGGTGCCTGGCCTCGCTGCCAGGCGCAGCGCGCGGTGGGGATCTCGCAGAGTCACGCTCCGACTAGAAGCCCGTATCACACCTCCTCCTTCTTTGTCCTCTCCCCCTCCTCCTCCTCCTGCTCCTCCTCCTCCTCCACCTCCTCCTCCCTTCCCTCCTCCCTTTCCTCCTCCTCCTCCTCCTCCTCCTCCTCCTCCTCCTCCTCCTCCTCCTCCTCCGCCTCCTCTCTGACCTCTTGTCCTCCTCCAGAGTCTCGCCGGTCACTCCTCCTCCTCCTCCTCCTCCTCCTCCTCCTCCTCCTCCTCCTCCTCCTCCTCCCTCCTTCTCCACCTTCGTCCCTCTTATCGGCGCTCCGCCGCCTGCCACCGGGTCCCCCTCACCACCCTCTATCAAAGTTGGCTGGTGGGGCCCGTTTTGATGCAGATGTGCGGATGATCCGATGCGGCTTTGCCTTATGATGTTCCAACCTACTTTAGCTTCGATCACCGGAAAGAATTTCGATCACCGGTAAATATCCGAAACTCAAGGGTTTTCACGTGTCGGGTCCTGGGAGGCGATATTCGTTCGACACTGTTTCGATACTTTTCTGGGTGCTCGAAATTACTTCTGGGATGCAGTCCTTACGTACGATGGGAGCAACAGAAGCGTTACCGTTCATCCAAGCGCCCCAGATCCGATCCGATGTCGATTCCGTGTCGATGCAGGACGATGCGACGCACGTTCCGATTCGACCCGATGGCCCAATCCGATGCTGGCATTTATTGGGCGAAGGGTGGCGTCGGGCAACGCTCCGGGGACGAGAACATGACCATGAAACGATGTTCGCAGCCGATACCGCGCACAGCATAGTGGACATCATTCGGTGTAGGCAGAAGAGCGAGAGAATCTGCACACGAGGTTGTTCATCCTCTCTCGTACGACGTGAGATGTCATTATCGGCGATGGCCCTGTGGTCATCTCTTTGAGAGAGTCTTCACCTGCGAGGTGCTTGAGCCGAGAGGCGCTGGGAGCCTGCACAGGCCGCAGCAGCAGCAGCCCTCTTCCTCCATAACCCCCTTCTCCGATTTCCCGTTGGCGCGGCGAGCCCGCCGCGCAGCAGGTCAGCTACAGTGGAGGCCCATGCCAAGAAACACCATGCTTGCCTCCAGTTTCTTGGGTTTCGATGGTTTCGCTATGGAAAGCGTGACGTTCCCACGCCGAACATCAATGGACGTCATGGGGTCTCAGGGTTGGGTTTCTTGTGGAGGGTTTTTTTCGGACTCGCCTCCAGTGTGCTCCTTCCCGAGCCTGCTGCCCACCATCCGCCTCGTTCGGACCCTACTCTTCCTGCGCCTGTCTGCCTGCGCGTCTTCGAGCGCGTGGGCAGACAGGCAAAGTCCCGTGTGGGGCCTCCGTACAGTGTGGTGACGGACCGCGTGGTGACCTCGGAATCCTCAGCGACCTCACAGCGCGGTCCGTCACTGCACGGTGTGGGGACCCTGGAGGCCCTGGTCGCCCGAGACGTCTT